CACACACACACACACACACACACACACACACACACACACACACACACTACTCTCTTCCTTACAAAACGGCGTCGGAAAACAAAAACAGAAACTCATCCCTGTGACATATGACATTGACAGACAGATGCTGGGAAACACATTTTCTCCTCTACCCCACAGACATTTGTCTTCCACCTCCTGTTTGTTCCCGCGTGGATCAAATAGGAGAAGATGTGAGCCAGATGCTAGACTAGTCTGCTGACTACTACACTCACGTTACCCAACACTGCAACTCAATCACTGACTCTTTTCTGGCAACGTATCCACATTTAAAATAAAATAAATCACACACATTTGGCATCAGAATACCTTACCGTAGGACTTTAATGAGCCAAAGTTTATGCAGCAAGCAAAACAGACGTGTTCTCTTCTCCGTTACGCCTTTTTTGTGCGTGTTTGGCACCTTAATGAGCAACGCTTAGCACGGAAAACGCTCAACATTACACTGCAGAGATCTGTGCTTATGAAAACCTATATTAATTCACCACATTCCTACCTTGCCTGTTACAAAATGGGTGCTCGATCACCTTATAAAAGTAGTGGCTCAGGATTTTGAAAATGAGCGAACACTGCCACCTGGAGGGGATCCTGAGAATGACCCGATGCGTATCAAACTATCCCGGAGGAACAGTGTGTGCTCTGGAGCCTCACAACTCTGCAATTTTGCCTCTGTATTTGAAATGATATCATAATACATCTACTAAACCCAAAAAGTGACGCCCTGTCCTTTCTTAACTGAGAGTATCACAGTGTACCTGGATTTGATGTGAGGGCAAGTCAAACACGTCCCAGATAGCATTCCTTCACCGAGGGGAGAGGTGATCATTAATTGCACCTCTGTGGCATTTTTATGGATTTTTGGAAATGGCTGGATGGCTCCAGTGAAGCAACAGAAAATGAAGGGAAGAAAGAAGGAGGTTGACAGAGACTGAGTGCAAAGGGACCCCATGAGGGCACCGCATTCATTTGTTCAGAAAACACATGAAGTGGAGAGCCACGTCTGCCACACATCTGAAGCCAGTGGGATCAAAGAGACGGTGCAGTTTGAGGCCATCCGTAATATATCAAGAACATGTCCACGCTGACTCAGACAAATCTCAAAGCTCACCTTCTCCGCAGCGTTTTTAGCCACATGTCCTTTCAAAAGAAAGTTTTTCCAAAGTGGTTAAATTTAAAAAAGAACACCAGTCTCTCTCTGGAAAACGATAAATATGGGACAGTGACTAGTTTAAAGAATGAGTTAACGAAGATGCACTTGATTTGATTTCACTGGAATAGGTCCTCATGACACCTCACCCCCACTGTCGAGACAATACGTGTCACTGGTTCAGTTTGTGGAGCTCACCTTTGGTTGAACATCCCTCTGAAGTTGTAGTTGGCTCTGTAGTTGGGCATGGGTTTGGGGTCCAAAGGCCTGTAGATAGCTGGCTCCCCTCTCTTCATGGCCAGACCATTCAGCTCCACGGTGGGTGTTATACTGCCTGTAAGTGACAGGAAATATGACAGATTAATGTTGTGAACATTAAATACCAAGCATCGACAGAATATTTTATGACGTCGGCAAATCAAACTGAAGCTCCAAATTCAGTTTTTAGAATATATATATCCCAAATTTTCCCACTGATGTTGCATAACCTCTCCATGGTTTTCTTTATTAATTAAACTAAATTAAAGAGCTGGCTTTGAGGTCTTCCACTACTTCAATGCCACAGAGGACATCGAAGGTAAGAGGGGCTAGTGGTGTTAATTTGGCCAGAGATAAAAACACAAGTCTGCACTTAAGCTTCATTGAGTGGGTCTGTACTGTCTGTGTTCTAAACATGGCTTATTTAAATATATGCAGCGCCTGGAAGTCAAACTCCTGCAGGTGAAAAAGCAAAATACTGAAACTTTCCTTTAATAATGGAGACAGACTAGCGCAATGCTAATTCATTGTGACGTGTCTCCCCTTCACCGTTAACCTCAGCCCTCTTCGTTGTGATTACACGAGCACATGAAAAGGAAAACGCTGCTCTCGGACTTTTGAGGCCTCTCGACCTCCCTCCGAACACAAGAGGGCACCAATGCAACCTCACTGGTAGTGGTGTCCATGCAGGGACCTTCCGTGCTTGACAATAGATGATAGATTGATGTTGATGCTGTTTTTTCTCTCTCTCATGACTCCCTCCATCAGATACTTTGTTGAACAGTTACATGATACAGATACAGAGATGTCAGAGGAGAATAAAGATATTGTAACTACGCTATAAATGTTGTTTTCTGTGTTGGATGCTTAAAACATTTTCATTATATTTTAAGCTGTCATTGTTAAATGTCCTGTCTCACAAGCTCCAGGCCTGCTGGGATGCTTTGGACTGCCGTCCATCTCAAAGCAGCAAAGATGTGAAAACTTAAAAGTAGAACAAAAATAATGCAATCTGCCATACAGCCATACGGAAGAGAAGACAGGAAAAGAGTCCCTCCTACTCCTCCATACCGTCATGTACCGTCATATTGTTTAGTCATTTCTGTTATGCCGTCAGCTCTAAATAATGCATACGCAGTATGTTACAACTACGGTGTCCACTGCCACACATTTAATTGACGGTATTAAATAAATGATGCGCTCTGTGTTCAATTTACAACGGTTACAAAACAAACAGTGAGATGTTAACATGCTCATGAATTTATAGAGGATTGAACATTTGAGTAAATAAACTGATAAACAAATGAACAAATGTAGTTTGACATCAAAATGGAATGGGAACTGATTGTGGTGCTTAAGGTTAAGTCTGTGTAAGTTTGAGAGCAAATCTCTCATTAAAAACACCATCTTACTGCAAATAAAATATATACTTAGAAAAGGTAAAATACAGTTGTCTCGCTCTGACAAAATAAGCTCAGTATTGACAACCTAATGAGAAGCTTAACAGGTCCACTTTCTTTCTGACGGGTCATTATCCTGTCTTACTGTGTCTGGCTGCTGCTGAGGCACCGCCAAAATAAAAAAAAAGTGGTTCAATTTTTAACTTGCTTTGTTTGATTCTGCCTTACTTAAAATAGCCATTTTGCACCTGTGTAATACCAGCTATTCTGGGCCAAACACGTTAGTAGCAAGTGGGTTGGAACGTCATCCTTCACAGACACATTCTTAGTAAACAGTACGATGACATGTGGTTGCGGCTGCAGTACCTGGGTTGCTGTTGATGTCCACTTTAGGGGAGCGGGGCGCTGGCCTGGGAAGGACACTCTCGTCCAGTGCTTTGGCAGCTGTGGAGTGCTGGGCCTTTTTAATGCTGGTGCCCTCAGCCTCCCACAGCTGCTCCCCAAGAGTCAGCTGCACGGTGAAGATCTGAAGCAGTGACACCCAGAGGGAGAGAAATAAACCGACGGCAGCTATTTATTCTTTTAACAACATCCCTCTGGATCCCGTATAGTATGAGATATATTAATTATGAAAAGGGAGGAAATGCCATAAATAAGTATGTATTACCTTAGCATGAATGGGTATTACGAAAGATGAAAGACAATCAGAGATTTCTTTAAGTTAGTAACACCTTCATCTACACAGCTTTAGACATCAGAGTCATGTCCCCATTCCTTACCTTAGCATGTGCAGGGCCTCTTTCGTTGAGGAGCTTGTACTGTGGTTGGATCCTATTGAAACGGGCTAACTCATTCACCAAACACATTGGAGTTTTCTCTTTAGGGTTTGCCATGTTCTCCTGGGGCGGGCCTGAAGCAGAGCACGGCAGCACACACACAGTATACTGAGTAACATGGTTACAGCACCAGAGACAGAACTATATAGAAGTCAAATGAGCTAATTATCGTGAATGACAAACTACTCTGTTGGCGTTTTTTACCTGGCGATGTAGCAGACACAGGGGCGTCCCCATATCCGACTGCAGGAGCAGGGCAGGCGGGTGTGGGGGCCGGGCCTGTGCCGTTGACGGAGGGCTGCAGACCCAGGGGTCCTGGGCTGGCCATGGCCGTCGGGGAAACTCCGGGGGAGAGGCCAGGACCAGCCAGGGGTGCTGAGGTCTGTACTTTCACTTGAGCCATGCTCTATTCCTGAAAGCAGACGGCAACTTTGAAGTATTTTTTTTTTAGAAACACACTGATCATTATCAACTTTCTTCACATATAACAGACTGACGCTTTGAATTGTTTGATAAAAAATATGTTGATTAATGAAGTGCGCGTCATTATTTCACACCAGTTGTTGCGCAATCTGGATCTGCTCGCTGTCACTTGACAGATTTCCTGCGTGCAAAGCCTGTGGAACTGACTTCAAACTGAGCAGCCCTAGGCCTATCTCACATTCTGATCCACTGGCAGCTAATACACCCAGACAATGAAGCTCTATTTGAAGGAGCTTTGCTCATGTTACTGCTGCTAAGCTCCCCGGAAAAAGGAGAGAATCCTGTGATAGCAGCCTGAAAAAGACAAAAAGGGAAGTTGAATCACATTTTATTTGGGACTAAAGTGAGGTACGAAGGCCTACATATGAAGTAGGTTAACACAGCAAAGCGGGTCAGACGCAGACCTGAACCCCTGGAGTGTGGACACATTCAGTGCCTTGCACTTGGGACACTTTGTGAAATGCTGGCTTTGAACCTGGCACCTCTAAGTGATGGACAACATCTCCCATCAGCTTGAAATGAGCTGTAACCCTGATACATTCAGGCTTCACCCTGAAATCAGGATTACAGGTGTTACCTCTGTCCATTGTGTACAGTTGAGGGCCATGATTTGATTGGTGTAGAGACAACAAAGCAGTGGCATGTCCATAAAACAACTGACATAGACTGTTTACACAAAATAAAGTGGATTTTGGACGTTAATTCATTGCCGTCTGTTTATATTTTCGGTACATCTTGCCTGCTGCCCCTGAGGTTCCCGATCTTTCTCCACCTCTCTTGACAGCAACATGCATAAATATCAACCCGACTGCACGGTCGTCCTGCACAGTAACTTGAACGCGGAGGTGGTGTTAAGTTAGGGTCGACTGACAGAGCTACAGGGCTGTCTGCAACCCCTGAACCTAACGTTACACTACACAGCTTCGGCTGTGCCCAGCTTAGCATGAAGCTAACGTTGCCAGCGAGAAAACGGCATTTCCTGCTAATGTCAGCTCCGAAGAACAAACCAACGGAATTGGCAAGCACACGTGCTGTCGTATACATGTCGCTGTGGGTTTTTTTCTGATGAATATACACTATTTAACCACCTCCAGTAACGCTAGTTTAGCCGGTTAACGCTCATCATGGCTGATCGGCCGAGCACCCCCTCTTGCTAGCATCTCCACACCGCCCCATCCTCCACGAAAGTCTGGGGGATTTCAGCCCATTGCAACATGATATACGGACTGGCAACAGCGTGAGCAATCATCCAGAGACTATCCAACAGAAAAGGGACAAATATCTTAGTGTATTTTTTACCTTTGTCCAGGGCCAGACCCCAGTTACACCTCCGACATTGGCAAACACTAAAGAGAACTGGATGGAAGAGGGAACAGACCACGTTATTTGTCTGGGTAAATGTTTTTAAATATGTCCCATTGGAGACAAATGACGGGTCATTTTGATGTTTCTCGCATTGAGTTTGTGTTTCGTTTATATCGTGAGTGTTAAGCATTGCGTATTGCTAACGTATCATCATTGCAGTTTGAGGTGAAGCTTGAATGAATCATGGACTGTATCAGCCACCCCCGCGACGATGTGAATGGTTCAGTCCTGGTTGGCTTCCTCGGAGCCTGAAGCGTTGCAACTTTGATTCAGAGCAAATATTGACCTTTTTAAACTTGTTTTCTGCAAACGGCATGCATGCAGGTTGGTTTGGTTGAATATTTTTACTTTTATACTATGCATTTTAAAGGCAAAAGTGAAATAAAGGTATTTTTTATACGGTAGGGTGATACAAATAATGATTTGGCCTATTTTCTTTTCTCAGGGAAGCTTCTTCATTGACTTTAATTATAAAGTGAATTACAAAACTTAGAGCTTAACTGTTTCATTCCCCCACATAGCACATAACCACCCACAGAACAGCACTCCATAATGCTGGTAGGGTTTACTGCCTTTGCTCAAGGGCACTTTGGAGGACAGGGGTTTACCTTGGTCTTGAATCTGAAGAGGCCTATGGTTGAGTCTCTCACAAACAAACAAGACCACCATGTCTGGACTCTTTGCCTCCAAGCTCTTGGTGCGAGAAACCACATCCAGTCAGCAGGCAGGTGGTGATTCTGGGGTCCCACAGCTGGAGAGGGCCCACGTGAATTACAGTATGGATCTTTTATTTCCAGAAAATGAAGTGTGAATCAGAGATTTTACATGGAAACTATGTAACGTCACGTGACCGCTAGATGGCGCAACTAACCCATTTTTCTACTGTGTCTGATGGTGCTTAAATAGTTGTAACAGACAAAACTCAATAAAGTTCATGAAGACTAACTGATGATGAACCCCCTTTCAAGCTTAGAAAACAATATGCATACACAAAGAACACTTAAGGAAGAAATACATGACGTCTGGCCAATGTTGAAAACATGTTGGAGGGTAAGGAATGCATTCTTCGCCTTGGTGTCGCTGTACTTAGGTATAAGAATTAATAGTTCGGAAAAAAAGGTATTCTTATGCGTCTGGCTTACAGAAATGATACGCATGAAATGCTATATATGCCAGATGTCATTTTACATGCTTGATGATGTGCATGACATTCTTAAAATGAGAAGTTTTTATGTGTTACAGTGCAGATTTCTTAATAGATTTGATTGTTTGACCATTGCAGTGTGACTGAGCATTAGTTTTCTGCTACACTGTCAAGTGTTATGACATTCTTGATGTGACTTCTGTGTCCTCGAACATGTGTTTGATATTCTCCTTTGGTCGTAAACATCCTCATACCCACCACGCCCCTTTAGAGTGGAGCTATTCAGTTTTGAATTCATCATAAAACCATAAAAGGCTTTGAGGCAGCAATCCAAGGTTGAATAAAAGTTAATCTTTTATTATTGATTATGAAAATGAACAGGCACCTTTTACATGGAGCTTGCACATCCCAAAACAAAAATTTCAAAAATAAATAACACACCCTCAGTGTTGAACACTCACAACAACCTGCAAGCTAAGAGTTCAAAGCACATTGAAAATAAAAAATAACCCTAGGAAGAAAAATAAAAACATGTCACATCCAAAACCTTGTAACATTTTCACTCGCAGGTTTTTCAAATCTCCTCTGATCTACTGCCAACTGGGTGAAGGCTTCTTGTCGTCCCCCCCCAGCACACTCTCAAATGCTGTTGTGACTGCATCTACACAATCATTTTCTCAAGCACAGTGACAACAGACAAGACCTGCACAATGGAGCTAAAAGAGAAATAAAAAAATCATTGGTTAAATAGATGTCTTTAAGTTATCAATATAGTTTTTGAGATAGCGGTGTGCCGTGGTAATCTCCTCTACAGTATAGAGTATCATAACATTCACTCAAGTCCATTCAAGAAACTCATCTCAACCCTGGAAAAAGCAAAAAAAAAAAATGCAATACAAACAACCCAAGATGGAAAATTCAAGTATCTCTGACTGAGTGGTGATAAACATTTCTTTAGGAATGGAGTGATTACAGTCTGAAAGGACAAAAGAGCCACACAGCCTCTGGATATCCATCACATAAACCATGACCTAAGTTATGGAAAGACAATGTCTGATGCCAATAAGAAAAAGTAGGGTTTAAAATCGCATGCATCCCCACTGTAAAACTACTAAACCTTTTTTTATTTTGTTTTATAAACAGTAGTGTTTGTTGCCGACTGTACACATCCTAATTAGCGAAAGATGCAGACTAACCTCCAATGAAATAAAGCACTCCTATTATCATTCTGCTAGTAGGTAAATGCATCCTCTGCTCATTTCCTTCACATCACCCAACTATTTAAAGACTTATATACAATAGTTTCAGACGTGTTATATACGTTTACAACATAACAGTCTCTTTTGGTGAAAATATAGTTAAAATATCCGATAGGTATGTTTTTAGAGGTGATCTCTTTATTGAAAAAAAGTACCTGAGCCAAAACTCTGAGCAGGGGGGGAATTGCAAAAGCCTCATCTTTAAGGCTTCTATAAAGACTCATTTTTTGTCATTCATTACCATTCTGGAGATCTAATTAAATAACAAACACAAAAAAAATCTAAAATATACTGGCCCATCAAAAAAAAAAAACCCGGTTCAAAGTATCAGCTAGTTGAAAAGTACAAAAAAAACATTTAAAATCAAAGATTTTAGAAGATCAACGCATGAAATTATAAATCCGTATCATACAAATAAAATTGGATCATGCGACAATGTTCTCCTACAGACATTCGTTAAACGGAAGAGAGGCCGCTGCACATCTTCAAGGCTGGACTCGTGAACACTACACGAGTTCAGCCCAACTTTACGAGGCGGTGTACTCTTGAGATCTATCGTCACATCCGTCTGATTAATCTCTGTACCGACATATCGTCCAACGGCAGGAAGAGCTGCAACCAGGTCTCAAGTTGGAAGATGAAGAAGAAAGCGGTTTACTCTTTTATACAGAGTGGTTACAAACTAAAAACCCTTTAACCTGATAAATAAGTGGAGGACTGCTTACAGTACAACTGAAAGTTGGGGGTTAACGTACTAAAAGGGCCTTTATGATCTAGATACTTTCACAGTGCATATAATTTAACAAACAAACAAACAGATGAAGCATTTCCTTGGGGTTACGATGGTCAGATCCCTTCACAGAAAACAAGCAGATTTGGATTTCTCTTTGTAGGCCCAAGCATGCATCCATCAGTTATTATTGCACAACACAAGGACCTTAAAATGCACCCA